AGCTATATCACGTGTTGTGACTATGACGTCACAGAGAAACCCGCTGTAGTGATTTCGCGGGCTCTTCAGGCTTGTAGTTCGAGCAATGGCGGACGTGATTTTATGGTTTTCTCCTGCTTATTTAAGGGAATTGTGTGGCTACATTGTAAAAAATTTCGCCGATTCATGAAACTTAGGGTCTAAATAAGAAATTACCGAAAGAAAAACCGGAAAAGAAAATACGAAATTTTCGTCGCAGTAGCACTTTAAGTCTAATTAATTGTTAATATTTAAGTTTAAACTTTGTAATTATTTAGGTTTAATTAACCGATTGACTGCCATGCAGGCTGTAACAGCCTGTGATGAGCATTGGCCTTTGTTCCANTTGCAGGAGGAAATGATCTTTCCAATGATACCCAGATCAGACTGATACATGAGATACACAAGACAATCCTCAGAAATGTGGATTGAAAACTCGCAGCAAAATTTGTTGTGACTACATACAAGCAATAATAATTATTTAGCTAACTATACTCCATGGTTAAATTGCCTTAAGATGCTTTCTCAGGATGATTTAAACTAGAAGCAATCCCAGTTGTAAGATCCAAGTGTACCTTTTTTCTTTATTATTCGTTTTTCCTTTGCGTGCTCTTATTGGTTCATAGGTATTTTCGTTCTTTTGTTTAGTTTTCTGTGTAAATCCAGGTGTTTATTCTTTTCTATTAGTTTTCGCCCCCTCGTTAGCGTTTCTTTGCTATTTCATCTTCATTAGCGCCTTTGTAAGTTCCTATAGTTTTATTTTTTTTACATGTTCTAGCGTACTTTATATATCGTAGTCTTTCAGTTCAGTGTGTCTCTGCATTTTGGTCCGCGCTTAGCGCAGTTCTCTTCAGTTCTCTTCAGTTACTCTTAGTAAGTCTATTCGCGTTTTTCGCAGTCCGCTTTCAAGCAGTTCTCTGGCCGAAACAATGTAAGTGTACTTCACAGTCGTCGTATTTTTGGTTTGTTATTTATTTATTGTAATATATTTTTTTTTGCTGTTTACTGTTTTAGTTTCAACCCACGCTTAAAGTATTAAACTCTCTTACAAGTTCAGTGGTGTTGTTACCGTATTAGGCCAAGAGTCTGCCTTTTTTGAGGTTACACCAGTAGAAGGTCAATAACTGTCTCAAATAGATAAGAAATGGAAAAAAGGTAAGACAAAAAAAAAATTAAAGAGAACCTGAAAGGCCTAAAAACGTGTGGCCACTCCTCAAATTTTGATTCCTGCACCTTCCCAAGCAAAAACATGGTGCTAATGGTAAGATTAAGGCATGTGCTACCATGTTGCAAAGACCTTTTTGAATACTGGGGCTAATAAACTTGGCTCATATCCGGGCTGAAAATCACCAAAATGTCCAAAAAATATAATGTGTTTTTGGCAAAATGCTTCACAAGTCACGGGCTAAAAGAGCTGACAGTGTAAAATAACAATCAAAGGTCCTAGCTATGAGACTACATTTGTTAGTAGTGTTCCCATTGGAATGAGCTGAATTAATAGAATGTCTAAGTATGCATTACATTAGAATGGCATAAGTGATAAATGGAACCACATTTTCTGCAATTTCTGGAAAATAGGATGTAATGTTGTGAGAGATA